ACCTTCAACTGGGGTGTCAAGAGTACTACAACTGTCAAGCATCTAAATGGTCTAGCTCCAGTTTTTCCAGTTGAACATTGCAGGGGAGAAACAATGTTCCTATTCTCTTGAACTCCAGAAACTGAATCTAATATGAAGCCACTTCCCTATGGGTGTGATCTGGGGTTCATTCCTCTCCTGACAAGCCAATCTCTCTGGGGTGTCCATTGTTGAGTCATTACCAATCTATTTTTGTTTGATCTTGGCTTGCCTCTTTTATTGCAAAATGAGAAAGTCATTTCATTGTGTTGGGGCGCCAAGAGTACAAGAAAGTCGTTGCTTATAAGGGGATCTGGAGTTTCATATGCGCATTATAGGAAAATTAAGCAGATAACGATTTGATTTCTCAAAAAAAAAAAAAAAAAAAAAACTGATAATGATTTGATAGCATGCGCTAACAGTTTTATAAACAGATATAATGAAGAATATTCAAGCAGCAGAACCCATGGCACCGAAGCAAAAACCCAAGATATTCAAAGTCAGAAAGAGAGAACTAAATAACTTAATGAATAACAACAATAAAGATTGTGAATGCTTGCATTATCAAAGGAGCATTAATAATTTAATATGGCTAGGAATTCCTATAAACCTGAAAAACAGGTTCAAATGTGCTACTCAGACAGTATGAGGCATATAAAGCAGAAACATTTGATTTTCATCAATGTATGTAATCAACCCCACAAACTGAATGTTGAGTTGAGGAAAATCTCTGGTAACAGTCAAATACTGAACTGTTTTCACCAATGTGAGTTTAACCTTTGATGAGAACACCAATGTATTTGCAAGCCAGGTTGTTGAATGGCAGAGTGAAAGTTGAACATCTAGCCATCCACATGGAGTCACTGTCCTAGACAAAGACACTGTGGAGCCATCCTATAAAGATAAGTCCGTTTCATTAATCTAAGTAGTGAAACAGCTTGATGAAGAGAGAACAAGATTAGAAGAGCCCTAACTTCACTAAACAATCAGCAGCACCAATTCCCTCTCCACTGGCGTGCATAAGATTGACTCCCAGATCCTAATAATAGAACTTTCTATTTAGGAGGGTCGACAGAAATTTCTCCAACTAAAAGCATAGGACTCCAAAATAATGTCTAATGCTACTCTTCTTTATCCCTTGTTCCCATCTAGCATCCCAGGATTGATGGTCTTAACTTTACCAGGAATGACTCTGCAGACAACATGTTACAAGTAGAGACCACTGCAGCACTGCCCATCCACCAGAGCGATCAACAGAACACAACCCATATTCCAGTCATCACTAAGGAGCCCACCTCTTATAATTAGTATTTCTTATTGAAATAAATCAAAGGGGCGGCCCAAAGAACATGACTGCTAATCTCAAGATCTAGTGAAACTCAAGTATATATTTCTCAGCAGCTGAAACCCTCTTAACAGGGCAGTATTTCAGAACATGCATGAACTTAGCCAAATCCTCAAGGGAACTCTTTTATTTCCCAAAAGCTTTTATATCAAACTTCTCCATTTAAGTAAACCTTACTGAATTACTACTTTTTAGAAGTCCAAACATAATTTCTTTTACTAGCCACAAAGAAGAGCCAGCATATTCATGGAGACCTGAATTGTAATATCATATCAATATTTAGCAGAAATCTCATGTCAATAAACCTTTCAACCATAATAAATTTAGGTGATATTATCAGCAAACTATATGCTGAAAACAGCGTGAACTATTTCTCCTGCAACGTACTTCGTAATGAAAATTATAAACATAATCTTAATTTCTAAATATTGGAAGTACAAAACTATTCAAAAACTAAAAGACGGAATAACTGAGTATAAGAATGCTGCTTCAGGTTAAAATTGCAAGTTCTTGTTCACCTAAACTAAAGATCATATAGCTAGCTTCATTTGCATCTTCCCAAAGTGAAAGCCACACTCTTATAATTATGAATCCTTGTACAATTTCAAAGAGCTGTGCTTCTAAGAATCAAGAATAACAAAGAATAATTTGAAGAACTAACAATTTAAGCAGTTCTACATACATAGAATGCAGGTTGATAAATACTAAACCCATAAATTGAACCAAACTGAACGCTTGACAAATATAAAGCATATTTCTAAAATCAGATATCCACAAAAGGTGAAGAACTCACGCATTATTGAAGAGGTATGCTTTTCCCCGGCGGCAATGAAAACCCTGAACAAATCACAAGGAAAAAATGAGACCTGAAAGAGTTTAAAAAGCCAACAGAATAGTTCAAATACATAAGCTGCTGGTGCATGACAAACAAACGAGAAAAACTAGTAACTCGAAAATGTATCAAGGAAAGAAAATGAGCAATTCGACTGTCGCCATGGCACGCATGAGTGGCCATCATACGACCTCGTGACCAACAGACCAGATTGCGTAGTCCTGAAAGTGGAAACTCCTTGTAGTTCTATGGCACCAGATTCTTTCTTACTTTACACAATTTGTGCATCAAACACAAGAAATTCAAAACATGGTGCCTCAAAAAATAGCATAGCTATATAGTTTTCTTTCATCCCTCTCCTATGGTAGCAAATTAACCAAAAAACAAAAGATAATAATGTTAACATATGCACTCTGAAACATGAGAAGCACACTGAAAAAGGAAAAAAAAAAGGAAAAAAAGCTTCAAAAACACAAATTAGATGTATGTGTCATAAAATTACTATAAAGAGGACCAAAGAGATAAACTTTAGCAATGGTTTATGATGGGTAATGGTTCTTACAGTGAAAGAAACAATCTTTGAGCAGAAAGTGGAAGGAAGAAGAGAGAAAGTGAGATAAAGTACCCGAGAGACACAGTCGGAGACGAGGGCCAAATGGGTCTTGCAGAACTTGCATTTGTAACACCTTCCCTCCAGCTCTACCACAAATAGCCTTCCCATCTTCTTTTCCTCAGTTTTCTTTATAGCAATAAGATTCACTACCAATATATATGATCTCTAAGATTTACAACCCACCTATGCAAAATGCCAAAGCCAAAGTCAGATATACGAGAATGAGAGAGATGAGAATTTGACACAGTGCCACCGTGCTGTGCGGTCCCCTAGTATAGAATGGCAGTTCTCCCAACACCCAAAATACTTAGCAAATACAGTATCATAGTATAGTATATATCCCATTTTTTGTGATTTTTTATTTTATTTTTTTTCCTGCTAAAAGATGCTTAGCATAATTGGACTAATAGGAATTCTGAAGTTTCCCTTTTTTTTTTTTTTTTTAATATGAAATTCTCTGGAGGTTTTAGAGTATGGAACAAGGCAGCTTAAAGTATAAATTTTATGCAAACAAGTTTAGCCTAGTGGAAAAGAATAACTTACAGATCATAGATTTCATATTCGAACTCTCATGACATTAGTTATGTGTATGAGAAATCCCATTCCCTGTCGTTTAGACTATCACTTATTCTAAAAAATATAAATTTTATAAAAATGAATATATGCAGAATAAAAAGAATTGTATTGTTAATTTCAAAGAAAAAAAAGTTATTATATTTGTCCTCTGAAAATAGAGATATTAAAATATTAATCTAACAAAACCAATCAACTATGAGACCATCTTTGAAAAATGGTACTTTGACTGGAAAAGATACCTTAAACTAATTAGTTAATAGTTATAAATTACCAACTTAGCAAAATAAAAAACCACTAAAATAATACTCCTAGAAACTACAAAAGTTAATCAGTCAGTGATCTCAACTGATGTCATTTTGGATAACCATGTCAGAAATGTCTGATATAATAAGGGATATTGTAACTTGAGTAACAACCTTGTTTGACATAATATTGCTCCTCTTTATTTGTTTTTTTGACTTTTCTATTTTTATTTATTTTAATAATATGGGTTGGGCTTCTGGTTTAGCAACACAGAACTTGGCCCATGGACTGCATTAACAATTGGGTTGTACTATGGTCAATATTTGTAGTTCTTTATTTATTTATTTTCAATAGATTGTTTTAATTGATCATGGTTAAGTCACCTATGCATCTTTAGAAGTTACACCAATTTAGTCATGATGAGAATACTATGGATTAGGATTCATAATTCTAGTCAAATATTTCATGGCCAGAAAATTACACAGATTTTATTATATATAATCTTTTAGGCTTCGTTTGGTTTACGGAACGGATTTGAGGTGTAATCACTTTCCATGTCATTTTTCAATGGATGAGAAATGGAATATTCATTTCTCACGTTTGGTAATGTCGGAAAGTAATCTAGAGATTTTACTTTGTGTTCCTTTCCCATGTTTGTTTTGAGTAAGAATGAAAAACAAAGTTTGTAGAATTTTCCAATTATACCCTTGTTTATACCAAAATCAGCGACCAATGGGGGCCTGACACATTGGTAAAACGTGGCATCAGCAAGGGTGCCCTCGGCAGCATGACCGGACTGGCTATGCGACGCCGTTCTGAATTTTAGGATTACCGAACGATACCGCAAGAATGGGTGACCTTTGGAAACCCCGAAGCGCCCCGGACATGGAGAATATACCTCCCAAGGGGAGCCCCATCGCCTCAACACTACCAATTAGCCGAACGGTGCCGCGCAATCAAAACAGAGCTGTCAGCTACTATCGGCAACTCATAAGGGCCGAAGACCGAAACAAGTCCCTAATGAGAATCTTTTCTCAAACAGAAACTTTGGAAACTCCTATTTATACCAGAATCAGCGACCAATGGGGGCCTGACACGTGGGGTAAAATGTGTCATCGGCAGGGGTGCCCTGGGAACTCAAGTCTACCGATCTCGCAGCTATAGCCCAAATCACCCACTGGACACATGGCGTATCCACAGTGTGTATCCACAATCCTATATTGAAATTCTACACAACTTGCACACCTCCCAAGATTTATAAAAAGAGCGCAATTCCCCAAAATAGAGGTAACCTGAACTTTTGGCATACTGCCTTAGGATCTGGTCAATGCTCTTATTAAATCAGTACTTACTTAAGCATCGGAGAGTCTTCGGCTGGTACCACACCGGTGCCCTAGGTCTTACCTAACGGACTCTTGTTTTACAGGATCGCGCTTTATCGAGGTCCAAGAGCATTCCGAAGGCCAAAACATCACTAAGTTGAGCCTAAAAGTATCGAACCACTTTTTTGCATCAACACGTTTAATAATATATTGTAATTCTAAATTGTTCATGGGAACAAAATCGTCATGAAAAATATGCATTGAATGTTGGCTCATTTTCCCAAACTTTCCCATGAGCAGTGGCGGAGCCACAATGGAGTCATTGGGGTCGCACGACTTCTTGGAAGCCATGGAAATAAGGTTAGAGGTCCATTGGAGCTGCTGGTGCAACCTCTTATAGCTGCACACCAAGTGGTCGACGAAATGTCTGAAAGAGCAATGGGTTGCAGGCTGAAGAAGAAGGCAAGCGCACGCCAGTTTTTTTTTTTAAAACAACTTGGCCAAAACGATGTCGTTTTGGGCCAAGTTTGAAAAAATAAGAAAAAGACCAGCGTATCCTCTCCAGCCACTGCTTCTCTGCAACACAACTTGACGGAATCTGTTCTTACGCCAAAGTTCAAATGTATTTTACATATTCTTGGCCACACAGAAGACTTTGCTCTTCAGCCTGTGAGACACTATAATTGAAGTCAAAGTAAAATGGCAAATTGCTATCTATTGGCCTCTGGACCATCACAAAGCATTCTTGCCCCCAGTAATAACAAAGTTTACATTTTCAATATCCATCTGAAGCTCCAACTTCTGCCACTCTTGCGTCTCAGCTTGTGCATGCCATTCTAATTTTTTTTAAAAAAAATTAAAACTTAGGCATCAGTTTAATTAAGGAATTTAGGGTAATTATATAATCTCCTCTCACCTCCCTCCCTTTTCTATGTGACCTCGAATAAAATGATGTCTCAAGTTTATGTGTTTAGTGCGTAAGTGAAGTATGAGATTCTTAGAGATGTTTATCGCACTAATTTTCAGTAACAATGTGAGTTTTTATTTTCATTTTTTTGCATATGTAAAATATATATGTAGATTCCATCCTAAATTTTTTTATGGGACTTTTACACTAAGACCTCTTTTGTTTCGATTCTTGACTCCGCCACTGCGTTATAATTCTACCTCATAAATCCAATCAAATCTCACTCACCAAACATGACCTAAATACAGCGCGAAATACAAGTGATTCAGGTGGGGAGTTTTGACGATCAACATGGGCTAAAGCTACGCTATAAATTTTCTCCCTTGTTGGGCTGTAGTGCTTGGCTAAAACAATAATACTTCCCCTCTCACGTATCCGTCAAAGTGATTGGCAATTCATCGGTTCAATGAGAAAGCAAAATTGCTCCCCATATTAATTTCTTCCCACAATATTCTGTTTGGTTACAGATTTTCTCTGCAATGCCATTAGATACTCCCTAAAATTAAATCCACTTAAATGAAATACAAAAATATTAAAGAAATATTCCAAGGTTGGGAGACCAGAAGCGTAGTGGTCCAAGCAGCACTTTTTAGAAACTCGTTTTTATTTTTTATTTAAATTTCCCCACCAACAGCCAAACACAGCCCAATATCCGTACTGCTTCACCTGACAGCCCAACAAAGGACCACCCTGCCGCCCCAAACCCAAAACCATCCCATCCATCTCTCTCAATATTTTTATATTTCTTTCTTTTTTTCTTTTGGGTCTGATAATATTTTTATATTTCATTAATTAAATTTCGGCGGTTAGCGCAGAACCGTTTCTCTTGACTACACACCACGTGGAGCGCATCCGCGCACTCTCCTTGCATGACCTACCTCTCTCCGTTACATCATCCGCGGCCCCCACCACCGGGTTCCCCTCACCACGCAACTCCCGCCGACGACGCGCCCGGCTCGAGATGCTGATGTCACTTTCGGACACGTCACCACCACACCCGTCGCAGTGCTGCTAGCGTCCGTACTTGGCGCCCACGTGAAGACGCCCTCCGTGGCGGTGCGTCATTCGCTACGTGTCAGCGTCATGCACAACTGCATGGGAAGCGAAATCTTGCGGACTTGTTCGTGGCTTCCAGACGACACGATCGATGTGTGGGCCAGACGCAAAGCGGCCGCCGCGCTTCCACCTAAGACACTGTTTCACACGTGGATCCCTTTAATTTGCTTCCCTAAAACATTTATTAATCATTAAAAACATTTATAATAATTATGGTAGAGAGGGTGGAAATTATAATTGGTCACCACTTTTAGTCTCTACTTTCAACATCACCCCCCCAAGAGTTTTCCGTTCTTGCACTGTTGCCCACCTTTTTATAATATTTTTCTCATTTTAATGACAATTGTGATTTGTTTTTAAACACCTAAGATGCGAATCAAGTTTTTTAAACAAATATAATATCTAGGACTGAAGACGGCGGCTTTCAGCCGGCGGATTACAATACTAATTAACTATTTGAGATATTAAGGAGGGGCTGCAATTTCAATTGCTGCCGAACTTGTGGAAAACTTTTGAAAAGAAGATTTAGCATACCACCAGTGGTCCAGTGAAATCCTTAGTTATAATGTTGTAATGTTATAATTTTTTGAGTAATGTTGCACTTACTACATTTTTATCTCACATTTCTATACTACATAATGTGATATCTATATTATATGCCACATCAATTAAATCAATGAAATGTATTTTAATTAAGACAATTAGAAAAACAAATGCTTGAATAAATCATAAAAGAAAAGAAAATATTAAATAATTTTAATTGATGTGATTGTCCACCTCAGCTGTCACATAAGATGGTATACGAATTTGGTATACAAATGTGGTAAGAGTAGCATTATTCTAATCATTTTTACTCAGTTAGTCAGTCAATCCACTCTACTAAAACATAGCAATCTTGTACCAAATGGGAAACTAACCTGAGAAAATTATTTGCTCTATGACTCTTCGTTCCAATCAATTTGAAGGCACAAACAAAGATGGAAATTTCACAAAATTCACTTTATCTCCCTTTTGTGCAACATACAAGAAGAAAGAAACTTTTTATGATAGAATATATTGTCTCATGTTTTCAATTCACCAACTTCCAAAGCCATATATGCATGTTAGCATAGAAGATGCATCTGATGAGCTAGGGTTTGATAGATGTTAGATTCAATTATAAATTATGTATTCATTTATGTCTCTTTACAATAAAACAAACGAAGATTGATATGTTGTACACATAGTTAATTGAACTATTCTTTAAAGGACGAGAAGAGATCATAACATGTTAATATCTATAGTTTTACTTTCATTTATTGTCGATTCCCCAACCTCCATATCTCAAATGTAAACCCTAAACTAGATAAAGAAATCCCTAAATCCTAGATCATATTAAAAAAAATTGTCATAACTACACTAAACTGGACCCTTTTGAAAGGAAAGAAAAGATCATGACTTCTTAATATAACTTTTTACCACTGTCCTATTTATTGGTTCACCAACCTCGAGAGCTAAGTCCGCACAATTAACGCATCAACATGATGACCCGGAATTTGGTAAAAGGTATAGTCAATTAAGAATTAGGGTTTTCAGTTATGATGGACAATACAAAGATAGAAACGTCACGTATACACTAAATCCACCTTTTGCTGAATGAAGAACAAGAAAACGAGTCTCGATAATATGATTTTATGTCAGAGGATATATTGCCTTTCTTGTTGGCTTGCTACCCGTTAAAGCTCAAAGACAAGTGTTCGTACATAAGACATCTCAGCATGATGAGCTAGAGTTCAACCGAAATGTCAATTACAAGTCATAATATTCAGTTATGATGAACTAGACAAAGAAAGAATTGCACTGAATCCAAATTTTGTTAAAATCGACAAGAAGAAATCACAACCTGTTATGTGATTCTCTATAAGATAATTTGTTGTCCATTGTTGTCGACTCGTCAATCATTAGAACTTGAAGACAAAAATGTGTGCGTAAGACACATCATAAAAATGAACTGGAGTATAACCGTAGATACAATCAGTTACAAAATTATGCTCAATTATGACGAAAATTATTGTCGTTTGTTGTCGACTCACCAATCCCTAAAGATCAAATATAAGAGTTTGTGCAAAAAAATACATTAGCATGGGAGTTCGATTGAAGACAAAACAAATTACAAGTTAGAGTTTTTGTTCGTGAAAATCCAAAAAAAGAGACTACCTCAATCCAACTTTTGTTAAATAGACAAGAAATCACAACCTAGTAACATGATTTTCTATTTTGAGTCCATTTATTGTTGCTTTATATGTATGATGTTCCGTACACAACTCAACTCATGATGTTACCATGGATACTAAGACAATAGAATAGCTAAAAGAAAATGATTGTTACTTCTTGAACGGAAAATATTTGAGAATGATGGGGCCAAACTTATATGAGAAGAAAAATGAAGGGCGCAAGTGAGAACACTCAAAATGTGAAACAGAATTAGTAATTACTGGACGGTGAGTGAGAGTAGGGTGCACGTGACGACAACCCGAATCCCGACATGTACCTCGTCAACACGGTCCGCTGGGGCCCACCAGTAGACCCACCGGCTTCTGATTCGGTCCTCTTAAAATACGCAGCGGCTTCGCCGTCGGTGCCGTCTCTAATAAAAACCAAAGGAAAATTTAATAAACCAAGAGGTGCTACCCTAAACGTGTCCTCACGGACCCACCCCCTCGTCCCCCAAATTCGGACCGTCCGATCAAGATCACGCTCCAGATCCGTCCTGAAAGGTTAGCAGATCACGAGACACGCCCGTGTATAGACAAAGAGAGAGAGAGAGAGAGTAAGAGCGCCCCCCATGCTTTCTAATCATAACGCCGCTCCGTGTCTTACAGCTTTGTTTATATTTTTATATTTTTTTTATTTAAACTGCTGCTGAAATAAAACGGGTAGTGTGGTCTTCCATACTCGGGCAGGCGGGGCCCACCCAGTGACTGACGCAAGCAAAGGGGATTTTTCTCTAACGTGCGCCCACCTGGAACTGATGAAAAGAAACCAGTCGGCTGCGCACGTTAGAGGTGTCACACGAATTCAGAACCACACCTCAGGACAAGGCTCATCAATCGGGAAACAATGCCGGCGACATGTCTGTTGGGTCGTCGTCACATATTATCCACAAACAAATCTTGGGTAAAATTCACGATTTAATAAAATCGAAAAAGAAAAAGAAAAAGAAAAGTTGGGTTTGGTAAAATTCGTTGCTTCGATCGATCCCTTTTTTCATTTTCTTGCGGTTTCTGGGCAAACAAACAGTAAACAACCGAGTGATACAGAATGAAATGGTTCATTTCATTTGCAGATTTGAGAACATGTACTGCTACTAGACAACAAAGAGAGAAAACTAAGATCTCTCTCTCAGATGGAAAAAGGAAAAGGCTTGGGTTGTTTCTCTTTCGGTATATACAACATGTAGAGCAGTTAACAACTGCATGTAGGGCTAATTCAAAATACATGTCAGCTTCGAGCTTCTTGCTTTCTCGCTCTCTAAACAGCCTAGGAGGGTTCTTTTTAAGCTAAAAAAGAAAGAACAAATTAAGACCGGATAAAAAAAAAGACGCGATCTTGGTTGGCGGGGCGGCGTCAGGCGACTTCCGATGGTGGAGGGAGGTTGAGGTCGAGATCGAGCCGTCCGTTGGGAAGGCTGCGATCGAAATCCACCACCGAGGACGAGGACGAGTCGCTGTGGGCCCCGCCGGAGGAGGGAGCCGCAACCGCTCGCTCGAACCTGCACATTTCGCGGGCGCGCTGGAGGGCGGCCGCGTTCTCCGCGCGTGCGAAGGCGTCGAAGAAGAGCACAGGACGCGCCACGGGGACCGCGCCGGCAGCGAAATGGGGCGCTAGAGAGAGGTCCAGCGGAGGCGGCGGCGGGGACGAGGACTCCACGGTGCTGCTCTGGCTGGGGCTGTTGTTTGCCGCGGCAGCCTTCGGCACGTTGTTGTTGTTGTGGCTGTTGATGTTGGCGGCGGCCTCGAGCTGGAGCTCAGCGGGGGTGGGGAAGTTGGTCTTCGCCTTTGCCCCGCGGAACTCACGCGCCGCCTTGTCGTAGGCACGCGCTGCCTCCTCGGCAGTGTCAAAGGTCCCGAGCCAGACGCGCGTCTTCTTCCCGGGATCTCTGATCTCGGCTGCGTAGCGGCCCCATGGCCTCTTGCGGACACCGCGGTACCGGATCTCTTTGGAGTTTGGGCTCGGGGTTTCGGAGCCGGATTTGGTTGGGGACTTGGGCGACGTCGGAGCCATGGTTTTTGTGCTTGGGGAGATTGATGTGAGACTTAGAGAGAGAGAGAGAGAGAGGAAGGAGGCTTGTTGGGAGAGAGAGGGAGTGAAGGTGTGGTTTTATAGGGAGGGGAGAGAGAGTGTTAAAGCTACGCTCCTTTTTGGGCGCTTGTGTGTTATGTTCAAGTGCACAATGTTAGCCTAATGTGGCTTCTCTTGCACGAACCACCTCGGTTACTTCTGACTGCCTCTCACCTCATGACACGTATTTATTGTCCCTTCCTTTTTCTTTTTCTTTTTCATATTTTGAACCACCCCCTGCCTCTAAAAATTTAATGCTTGGTGTGGTACATATCTTTGTCTACACAAGGATGTTGTTCTTCTCTTTGTTTGGTAAGTAAAATTTAGGAAGAAATTTCTTTCCATTTTAGTTATTGTTGATATATATCTTCAATATGCTTGAACCGATTTCCAAATTTGATATAATTTTTTTAAAAAAAATAATGGAGATCTTTACTATGGATCGATGTTAAGATTAGTTCTAACGATTTTGATTAGAGAACAACTTGTTTAACTTTTATCTTCATAATTTGAACTCATAATGAGCTTGAAATTGCAATTTCATCTCGTATTTCATATTACCAATTTTTATTGCATACCTTTACCCCATGATAGGACATAATTTAGCTTTTTCAGTGTTTTTTTGGCTAACTTGTTTCCTATTAACGTGATTGGTCATTAGTGTCAGGAATCAAAATGCGATCAGTATTGGTTGCTTGTGTTGGTGTTGTGTCCTGTCGTAACAAAGTTCGGTTCGTCAGGCAAAAGATTTTGCGATACTTCACGGATCTGGGCCCATCTTATATCTGCATCTTTAGCATAACGGTCTACTTTGACGTATTCACTCACTAATTTATGATAATCAATGTCTACACCTTCACTTCACCGTGTTAGATTATGACAATGTAGTTATGTTGACTTTGTGGTAAGTTAGTTATTGTTTGTCTTAAGTTAGCTCAAGCAGTGTGAGAGAGCGGAACATAGGTTATTAGGACCATAGTAGGCTAACATTAATGGTTCAATTCATTCCATGGTAGGCTAATATTTCATATAGTTTTTCTAGTTAGTAGAGTAACAATATATCATTATGTCAAATTTGTGCACTGCTTTTGTAGGGTTTGTTGAATATGATCTATCATCTAACTCATTGAAACTATAGTGGACAAAATTTCCATGGCATTTAAGATCGCATTATTCTTGAAATGGGTTTGTTTCCTTGTTAGCTCACGAATATTCTTGAAGAAATTGTTCATTGAAATATATATCTATCTTTTGAGTGTGTACGAAAAGGGAAATAGGCAAACTTTGATCAATGATATAGAATCATTTGGGCATGAGTCCCAATCGGAAAGCATTCATTCAAGAAGAAAGATTGAGCAATTCGTTTGGTTGCATCGTCAATAAATTTGGTCAAAATAAAAAAGATTTGTAATAATATTATTGGACCACATGAATATGTACGAGCATTTAACATTCTTGACAATCTCTACCTCATCGTGTACAATCTACTTATGTTATGATACATTATTTATTAGTATTATATCGTAGAGCATATAAACATTCTTGACAATCCCCACCTCATCGTCAACAATCTGCTTATGTTATGATACATTATTTATTAGTATTGTATCGTAAAATATAATTGATCAAATTCACTCATATTATAATATATGAATTAATAACACCACATGACTTACTCGAATATTTTCGATTTTTAAAAAAGTTTTGAATGGTTGTTTTGATGAGCAACATCAGCCCCAACATAATAAGCAAGCTGACATATCAATTTGTGACTACTATCTCACTTTACAAATTTTCACTACTTGTTAATTTACAATTGAGAAATTAGAAAAATAGAAAAATTTGAAAATGAAAATCTCAACCCAGGGTTATGCTGAAATGATTAAGGAGAGCCCACGTGGAGCGTCAACGTCACGCGCCACACGTGCCGGTGCGCCCAACATGCCAACAACAACAACACCGATAGCTAAAAGAAAAGAAAATATTCGCTCGGTCAACGAGGAGTTTGACCCACCCACAACTCACTGACTCTCCCGCCCGCTCGTTTCCTTTTTGCTTCGGTTCGTGGGGCCCACGTAGGAAAAAATAGCGCGGCGATCCACGCTGGCGCGTTTTTGGTGAGGACACGCGGCACGCTGGAGATCCAAGGGCGGCTTTTCCTAACGGCGGTTATGACGGCGCTGTCGTCGCGTTATCTGCTGCCTCTTCTTTTGTGTTGGGCCGATAAACGGAAAGTTTGTGGCGGCGTTTAGTTCCATTTTTATAGAAACTTTCTTTGTGTGGTGCTTCTTTTTGGGGGTTGTTGGACTTTTTGGGTTTTGCCATAAAAATTGTCGGCACGGGTCCGCCTCTTCGCCGCGTGAGTAGATCGCTCTCTCTCTCTCTCTCTCTCTCTCTCTGATGTGGGCAGTCTCTTTGAAAATGCTCTGTTCGCCTTTGAACTGGTCCCATCTGATCCAACGGCTGTAGCCTTTCGTTTGTTGGGATGCTGCCACGTGGGTTTTACACGTCTAGTGGTAATTATCACCGAACGGATAATCACATTGTACACAGCACCACTGTTAGACAAAAAGTTGTGCAAATATTTTTTTACTTGAATTTGTTTTTTAAAATATAAAAAAGCACTATACCCAGCAAGCAAAAAGATAAAATTGTAGTGCATTTGTGTTTGTGCGACCGTTAAATTTTGAGAAAGCAAATTAGATAATTAAAATTTTGAAAGAGAAAATTAAAACAAAATGTTATTACTAAGGTTAGGTCCCAATTATTTTATAACAATATGACATTACATGATATGATATGACATGAATTCAAAGTAAGACGAGTACGAGTAAAACATGAATATGTTAAAAGAGCAAAAGGCGGTCAATTGATTCCACCACTCAACTTACTCACATTAGCTAGCTACAACTTTTAGTCATTTTCAAAAGGACATAAACACGAAATATGACAAAGAAATGAATGAGAGTGTGCACTTTTTGTTAAATCCTTTGGATGTAGCAACTTTCCTACTGATTTGTGGCCAATTTGAGATGTTTGTGTTGGAAATTTGTTATGATTTAAATAAAGTAATTTGGCTATTCAATCAAAACTGCTTTCCCTTAGCCATCTTTGTTTTGAACTTTGAAAGAACTACTAGATTTGACACTAACAAAGGAAAAAAAGGAAACTTTAAGCAAGTGGGATTAATTTGGATTAAAAATGAACCCAGAGACAACCATTCTAACCAACCTTTTGATGGTTTGTCTACTAGTAGTTTCAATCTTAACGGTAGTAGCTCACCCATCAACCTAGTGTGTCTAAAGGGAATAGGATAACCCCAGTAAATTGTTAGGTTGGGTTCTATTGAATTGAAAAAGCTAGCAGATTAACAACCAAACTTGGGGTACATGAGGATAACCTTAACCTTAAAAGTTATATTGGTTGAGATAAATTTGGTGAGACTTTTTCATCAAAGAGGGTTATAAATACCAATTTATGTACTTAGATAATTCATACCCTTACATTAACATATTTAGTATGAACACATAAATATACCATACTCGTTGAGTCATCCTAGCTCGTCTAATAGTACATGCGACTTGATCCTTAAAGTAGCGTTGCACCACTCAATGAGTCATGATGACCTAACAAGTGTAGTATTTTCATGCATTCGTATTGATTATGTGAATTTCAAATGCACTATTGACCTCTCTTTAATTAATAAGAGCAAATTTTGGACCACTTTTTTTTTCTTAATTTAGGTTTTATGGTTCAGATGAAAAGGAATGAAATTAAGGTCAACATTCTATGGGGTTTTTTTTATAGGGTAAAAACATTATATATAACAAAAGAAGATAAATATTTTTTGTATTTTTTCTGGAAGTATTGTATACATAAACACACATATAACATATCTAGGAAATGATTTTCTTCCAGCCCAAGCAAGCCCAATTGAAGAAAAAACCAAACATGGGATTCAAATTTGA